ATAAGATGTTTCTAATTTTAGTGATATTACACAGGTGGAAGAAGGCAGATCTAGTAACGTTTTTAATGTGGGAGATAAAAGACATGTCCTGATCAAAAATAACACCAAGATTTTTAACATTAGAGCTGGAGGACAGATTAATGCCATCTAAGGAGGGAGAAAGACTGAAAAATTAATTCCTAAGGTGCTCGGGTCTAAAAACCAAAACCTCAGTCTTGTTTGTGATCAAAAGGAGAAAATTAAGGGTCATCCAGGTGTTTTATGTCTTTAAGACATGCTTGTAGTCTAAGTAGCTGATTGGATTCATTGGGTTTAATGGACAAATATAATTGTGTGTCATCAGCATAACAATGGAAATTTATCCCATGCTGTTTAATAACTTTACCTAATGGAAGCATATATAAAGTAAAGAGTATTGGCCCAAGCACTGAGCCCTGAATGAGTGCATCCAGTTCATTTATTGCAAAGTCACAGATTACCGGTAAACCAACATTCTATTTTCAAGTGGATTATTTTCATTTGCTTTAAATATCTGCACTATCCCTGCAGGATGAAAACTAGAAAGCAAACAGGAAATGCATTCTTCGCAAAGTCCTGCTCATCTAATTTAAACTCAAACTGTCTGTTTAAGACAAGCATCAGCTGTTCAGATTAGGTCAGTGGGGGGTGTTGAGCAGCTGTTCATATGCTTCGTGAGTAATTACCAAAACATAGGGTCCCGTTTGCCCTTTAAAGTCACGTTCTGCTCTAATAAATCTGAATGTGGCCACGAGCAATCAACATGTTCAGCTAAAAATAGATGCTGGGTTTAGTTCATTGTGAGATGTCCTGCATGAATTAAATGTCTCTGATGCATTCAAATGATCACTTAAAAGAGGTCAGAGCATTTGTTTGCTTGTTGTAAAAAATTATTTATTTATTTATTTGAAGCGGTCACTCACTGTCAGCATTCTGATGGGATGTTGGTAATTGTGTTCGGAGGATGACCGAAGCAGGAGCTGGGTCCTGGAGATTAGGGCTGCCATGCTGAGTGTTTTATGAAAACTGAAGGCATGTGGTCAAACGTGATGTGCTGTGGTTTCAGAGCAGGACGGCTCAGATCTGCTACATGCTTCATTTAAAAATCGGACCACTAAGGGCAGGGATTGTTGAGACTGACAGTGAGGTTCTGGTGTGTGTTGAGTAGGGTTGGGCATTGTTTGAATTTGAGCGATTCCGGTTCCGATTTTTTTGTTTCGATTCCGGTTCCTATCGATTCCTGGGTTGTTTTTTTTGTTTTTTTTAGAGGAGAAGTTAAAAAAAAGACCTGTCAATTCAATTCAGTTTATTTATACTGTATAGCGCCAAGTCACAACAGAAGTCGTCTCAGGACACTGAACAGAAACTGTCATATAAAAATAACAAGTTAACAGAAATATATATATATATATATATAACACTCAGCATGGCAGCCCTAATCTCCAGGACCCAATATATATATATATATTATATAAATCACAGATCATAAGTTTAAACTGAGAGAATGTATCATTTTAAGGGAAAAATCTGTTGTTTCCAAATTTCATGGCATCAACAAATCCCAAAAAAGTTGGGACAAGTCCATTTTTACCACTGTGTGGCATCCCCCCTTCTTCTTACAACACTCAACAGACGTCTGGGGACAGAGGAGACCAGTTTCTCAAGTTTAGAAATAAGAATGCTCTCCCTTTCATGTCTAATACAGGCCTCTAACTGTTCAATCGTCTTGGACCTTCTTTGTCGCACCTTCCTCTTTATGATGCGCCAAATGTTCTCTATAGGTGAAAGATCTGGACTGCAGGCTGGCCATTTCAGTACCTGGATCCTTCTCCTACGTAGCCATAATGTTGTGATTGCTGCAGAATGTGGTCTGGCATTATCGTGTTGAAAAATGCAGGGTTTTCCCTGAAAGAGATGACGTCTAGATGGGAGCATATGTTGTTCTAGAACCTGAACATAGTTTTCTGTATTAATGGTGCCTTTCCAGACATGCAAGCTGCCCACGCCACAAGCGCTCATGCAACCCCATACCATCAGTGATGCAGGCTTCTGAACGGAGCGTTGATAACAACTTGGGCTATCCTTGTCCTCTCTGGTCCGGATGACATGGCGTCCCAGTGTTCCATAAAGAACTTCAAATTGTGACTCCTCTGACCACAGAACAGTCTTCCATTTTGCCACACTCCATTTTAAATGACCCCTGGCCCAGTGCAAACGTCTGAGCTTGTGGAGCTTGCTTAGAAATGGCTTCCTCTTTGCACAATAGAGTTTCAGCTGGCAACGGTGGATGGCACGGTGGATTGTGTTCACTGACAATGCTTTCTGGAAGTATTCCTGAGCCCATTCTGTTATTTTCTTGACAGTGGCATTCCTGTTTGAGGTGCAGTGACGTTTAAGGGCCCGGAGATCACGAGCATCCAGTAGAGTTTTACGGCCTTGACTCTTACGCACAGCGATTGTTTCAGATTCTCTGAATCTTTTGATGATGTTATGCACGGTTGATGATGATAACTTAAAAGTATTTGCTATTTTACGCTGGGTAACACCATTCTGGTATTGCTGCACTATCTTTCTTTCTTTGCGCAACAATGGTGGAATTGGTGATCCACTTACCATCTTTGCTTCTGAGAAACACTGACACTTATACCCAATCATGTTGTCAATTGACCTAATTAGTGTTAATTGGTCTTCCAGCTGTTCGTTATATGCTCCATTTCCTTTTTCCAGCCACTTAGGTCGTTTTCACACTAGATAGTCTGGTAGACTCTGTTCGGTTGGGGACCAATATTCATGACATTTTGTTTACATTTGAGCTGGTGCGTTTGCATTCACACTGCACTGTGCAGTCGAGTCAACCTGTTGAACCAACCTATTCCCCCACTCGCCTGTGGGGGCGCTGCACCAAGAACTACTGAAAGAAACGACACAAAAACCTCTGAAGACGTGTCTTCTTCTTCTGTAAATAAAAATGAAGTGGCATCAAGTTTTAGCAGTTTTAGGAGTTATATTTTGTCATTTTTCAAAAATGGACTTAGCATGAGCAGAAGTTGAGACAGAAGACCATGGAGAATATTGTTTTTCACACAAGGCAGCTGACGGCTCCATATAAGGTAAGAGAAATGCGTGTTTGTTTACCCTGCAGAGCAGGGCTAGGTCTGTTTACATTCACACTACACTCGAACCGCGCTGGAGTTCGCTTCTACCGGACCGAGACCTAGGTTTTAGCCCGGGCCAGAGTTTGCCTTTTTGTTCCGTGACAGAGTTCAATGGCGCGTTCACACCTCCCTAAACGAACCGGACTTTCTAGGAAAACGAGCTAGAGTTCCATTAAAGTGGACTAAACAGGGCTGGTGTGAATGCACCCTTATTGCTACTTGTCCCAACTTTTTTGGGATTTGTTGACACTGAAATTTTGAATCAACATATTTTTCCTTTAAAATGTTACATTTACGCAGATTAAACTTTTGATCTGTCATCTGTTATATTACGAATAAAATATTGACATTTGCCATCTCCACATCATTGCATTCAGTTTTTATTCACAATTTGTTTAGTGTCCCAACTTCTTTGGAATCCGGTTTGTATATATATGTGCATAATGCGTATATACTTTGTATGTATACACTTTTTTTTTTCCCATTGGCCAAGATCTGTCTATCTTCATTTCAAATTGTGTACTCCAGTGCATTACCTGTAGATTCATAAACGTGGGAGCGGCTGCTGAGGCGAGTACAATATGGTCCGGAGGTGGGCAATGAATCGATGTGCACCACTTAGAATACAACAATGCTCAGTCAGGTCATCTGGATATTTTTGTGTTTTGTGCTGAGATGTTTCACCCTCCATCCAGAAGGCTTCATCAGTCTGAGGAAATGCCAAACAAAACTGATTTTCCTCCAACAGCTTACTCCAAAGTGGGGAAAAAAAACAGTTATGTTGGTGCTAAGATGGTCACTGGGGCACACCCTCTCCTCCGGTGCCCACCCTCTCCCTCGTCGACGGTCATGTCAGATCTGTTTAAAACACCAAAGTCCAATAATCCAGACTGGATTATTGAGCATGGATTTTGGCACCTAGATTACAATTTTGCAAACTGCACACGAAAGAAAGCAGTGGTTAAAAAGTTGATAAATAAATGGGCCATGCAAAAACCAGCAGTGTGGCTTGCTGCTCACGGAATTTTAACACCAATAAACTGATTGCTGAAAATGTGTCAGACAAGTTATCAATAAATCTGTAAAGAGAGTTTTGTTTGGCAACAATTTCAATTTCATGTCACCAGCTCCACATTTGTCTGGTGACAGTTGAAGTGCTTCCACTATTTGTAATTCGGCTCAAACTGATTTCAGTGCCCTGACATGACTTCTGTTGTGTCTTAGCGCTATATACTGTAAATAAATGGTAAATGGACTGTACTTATAAAGCACCTTTCTATCTTATCAAGATGCTCAAAGCTCTTTACAATCTGTGCCTTATTTACCCATTCATACAGCACTCTACTAGATCTCTACAAAGCTAATTGAACAAATCATTCTAAAGAGACTAATTAGAGCTTTATCACATTCATGCACTGATGGGACACACATCAGAGACAACGAGGGGTTCAGTGTCTTGCCCAGGGACACTTCAGCTTGTGACTGCTGGTGGATTCGAACCCCCAACTCTTGCATTGGAGGACGACTGCTCTAACTACTCAGCCACAGCCGCCTTAAATAAACTGAACTGAATTGATTTATTTTTGTCCCTTGTGTTCAAATTTTTCATATCGACATATAAGCTGACCTAATGTGTCGGGCTGACGTTGGGCATCTATACTCCCAGGTGGAATATGCATCTTTTTACAGAAATCTGGGCTTTAATTCACCACAGCTAGAAATCTGCTTTTACTGGAGCAACCAAGGATTCAGTTCATGTGTGGAGTTACTCAATCCTTTTCTTTTCTCTTTCTTCCTCTCTGCCCTCTTCTCCCTCCCTCTCTTCAGATTGAAATCCACTGCGAGCACCAGCGGTTCCGGATTTTTGTGGACGGACATCAGCTCTTTGACTTTTACCACAAAGTAAAATCTTTAACCTCTATCGATACAGTACGGATACAAGGAGACTTACAGATCACAAAGCTTGGTTAACCTCCCACCTTTCCCACAACTTTGTTTTTATGCGTGTGTGTGTTTGACAGAAGCAAAGACTTGATAGATGTCCACACAGTCACACATACACGTACAGACACACACATGCAGCTGTTGCATCATCATAGGTTTCTATGATGATGCAACATTCTATCCTTTATTCAGGTTCTATAGTTCCCGTTTAGTGGGCGGATTGTTCACCTCTAGTGGGCGGATTGTTCACCTCTAGTGGGCGGATTATTAATATCAACGCACCTTACCAGCTGGTGGCGGTAGTGCTACATTAAGCTCTTTTCTAAGCACCACTAACATGTATTAGAAGAAGAAGAGCCGGAAAACAAATTAATTTTTGTTTTTAACAAAGAACCAAAACCTACAACAAGAACTTTATATTTGTTTATGCATATATTTATTAATCTATTTTAATATTTATATATATATGTCTTCAGCCAGAGACTTCTTCAGATCCCTTGTAAGACAGATGCTACAAGAGATCCTTCCTGCCCACAGCATCAGCATCTAGAACAACTCTTGAATGAAACCAGGATGATGAGTTACATTTAATTTCCCTCTGGGATTAAGAGTCTTTTTGTAATTTGATTTGTATATATGTATGCATGTATATATATATATATATATATATGTGTGTATATATATATATTACGTACATTACATAATAACCTACATTTGATATTTAACTCAGAGCTTACGCTTACCACGCAGCTGTTTAAATTAAGCTGTCGCAAATTATCTTCATGATTGAAGTGCTGTTAAGCAATATTAAGTTAGTGCTCGTTTGTACCACAGTGAAAGTCGTGGAGAGAATTTTTGACCTTGGGCGAAAAAGATGCAGAAACTGCTGGATCCACAGGATAGACATCATGGCCGAGGTGTTTGACATGCAATGACTGAAAACCTCCTGAATGAGGATGATTGTAAACGTAGATTACACAAGTCCTACACCTTTTTAACTCCACTGCAATGTTCATTTACAACACATGGACATTCTGTATTATGGTTACGTTTTTCAGTACTTATTACAGATAAAACCAAAAAAAATACATAAATAAAAATACTGGACTTTATTTTTAACTGAAGATGTATCACTTCTCATCCGAGGCTCTTTCTCAATTTAATGAAACGAGGAGTGTGATTCAAGTTAAAAAACTGTGGTGTGCCATAAGCTTGTATTATGGAGACTGACGCATGCAGATCAATCTCCAGCAAGCTTACAGAACACCACAGCTTTATAACTTTAATCCCATATTCCTTTTTTCATTGAATTGTGAGTGCTCCTCGGATGATTAGCGAAACGTATTCAGTTTAAAAAAAAAGTACTGTGGTTTTGTTTTTATATTTTTTGGGGGAGATTTGCCGTGTCAAGGATAACTGAGAATCTTCACTTGCATTGTTACAGGTAAAAAACAATTACTTCACTTATCTACACTATTGACGTAAAAAAACACTAAGCACTTCACTTTGATGATCAGATGGAAGCTCAAGACTTGAAAATTTTTTTTTTATTAGAAATAAAGACATTAAAAAAATGTATACACTACTTACATATGAAAACTTTACACGGTACATGTCTGGCTATTTGTGGTCTTACCTTGCAGGATCTACATTTCTATAGATCAACTAAGTTCTACAATAAATATTTTTAAACATGTCTGTTTGCCATGGAACTGGCAATGGATTCCAGCACCCCAAGGAGTGCCTGATTGAAAGCAGCACTCTGTTCAGCCTCCTGCCTTCGCTGTGCTGCTTCCTCTCTGCGAACATCTGCTTCCTCTCTCCTCAAGGCCATCTCCTCCCTCCTAATGGCCTTCTCCTGCTTCCTCGTTACTGCAGCTTGGCGTTGCCTCTCCGCAGCTTCTTCTTGCCTTGCATTTTTGGCATCCTCACAAATAAAATGGAAGTGTTCCTCTCTCTGCTTCCGGTTCATCTCCTCTTGTTCTGTATGTGCAGAAACAAAGCTCTCTGCTGCACTTGTTGATTTGCGCTTTCTATGGCCTAGGAATAACACACAAGAAAATGGCTGTTAGATGATGAAGTACAGGTAGAGTTTTTTAATAAATTATTAACATTAAAGTTCCTGCTAATTTCAAAAGGTGTTTGTTCACAAGATCAGAAATGATTCTGTTCATAAAGCAGTCTAGTACTTTAATGATAGTAAGCAGGTGGGCATAAATAAACTACATGTAGTCATTTACAACGGTTTGTGCTAATTTAGAAAAAGAACAGAGCATCGTTAATCTGAACAAAAATCACTACACCCTGTATAATTTCAATAATAAACTTCATAAATGAAAGTTTAAGTAATAAATGAATAATGAAATTTAACATTTATACATTACAACTGAATAAACAAGTAGTTTGAATACATGCAAGGTGTTTTACAACAAAAACAAAACAACATTCATATCAACATGATCAATGTGATGTTAAACACGATTGTTGCTTCTTCTTACCTAGTAACGGGTGCTGTTTAGTGCCGCTCTGCTGCGTGTTGCCCGGTGGCGTGCATGTGCCCGGTGGCGTGCATGTGCCCGGTGGCGTGGATGTACTCGGTGGCATGGATGTACTCGGAGCTGGTGTGGTCGGGAAGGGTCAGAAGCGGGGAGGATTGGACAGTCAAAAGCAGAATCTGGCGAACCTTCATGTTCAGTGGGACTTTCTGCATCAAAATAAGAGTGGAAAAACAGCAACAGAGTACAGTTAGCAATGATGCTAACTAATGACGACGTAACCGCGTCAGCCTCGTTTGTTCAGAGTACTTTCAGAAAACGCAAAGAAACGGTTGCATGAGGGAAAGGAAATATGCTTAAAGTAAATAAAATACACTCACCATCAGCTATTAGTTTTTTAAGCTTTCCTCTTTGCTTTGGTGTGCGATGGATGCCCTGCACCGCCATCTGCGCAGACACCTCTTGAAAAATCTTTTCATTTCTTTTCGTTCCATCTAGCTCGCGCTGCACTTGTTCATCGGCCAGCAAACAGAGAAATGCCTGAACTTCAGCATTCGACCACGGTTGTGCCATGATTATTTGTTTTACCTTATAAAATATTCCAAAATAAGCTCCTCCGATTTCTTGTTGTCTGTTATGCGGGTGAAAAAGAAAATGGTGGATTGTGATTTCCGGTGGAAGACTGAATCTCCGCCCTCCACCAATGAATACGCCCCCTGACCAATCAGTGACCTACAGTGCGCTGATGTCACAACTAGACCCTAAAAGAACCAGACCTGGGACCTCAGTGATTTAGGTCCCAAAAATGGGGTGGGTTCCACCGTTAAAGGCATTGTTGATAAATCCTGCAATCGGCCACAACTAGTTACATAGGAGTACCAAAAAGACCCGTGGATAAGGGGCTTAAATGACCATTCCGCTCTTTAAAACACACATTTCCTTCACTGAAGCAGAAAGTTACCTAATACACTAACAGTAGTAAAAGTACTAAAGTATTATTCCCTAAAGGTTCTCTGTATGCTCCTCTTCCAGTATGAACGATCCGTGATAAAGTTCAGGAAAGGCTTATATTACAAAAGGCTTGTAATTAATGTTAGTCAAAGTCAAGTAACCTGTAAGTTATTCTGTGTATAACTCATTTACTCACTAGTAGCTATAGATCTTTTTTGTAAAAAAAAAAAAAAAAAACCTTGGTACAGATGTCTCTCAGAAAGTAAACTTGTTTTTTCACAACTGAACAACTCTTAAAGTGATCAAGTTATTTGTTTGATTTATAAAAATATTACATTTTATCAAACCCAGTATTTGTGATGGATAATGTCTTAATAAAATGTACGCTGGATTAGAAATGTTGCTTTTCTGCCCGTTTTTGACCAGGTTTGATCGTCTTTTGAGACACAGAATGAATCTTTTTGTTTGTCCTGCTGCTTCTGTCAATATATATATATATATATAAGTGTTTTGTATTTTTTATAATTTGAACCATCGGTGCAAAACTGTTGGCACTGCAACTTCTCATCTTCCCACACCCATCAAAACATCAAATGGTTGTGCTAGAGCCGTGCACCCACTGAGTATGGACTAACTTCTTGGATACCATGGCTGCTCCATTAGTGATCGCTTCAGAGCAGAGCGGGGGGGGGGGGGCAGAGAGGGTTTTCATGAGCCCTCTGCTTACACTCGTTTATTTCACATCCAAACAATAAACAAGTGTGAGCATGTTAAGGAAGTTTGTTGCATGTTTACAGGTGATGCATCAGTTTGACGTCAGAGCATATTGGTGTGTAGCTAATTTGCATTTGTGTTGTGTGTGCTCTATGAGGGATGGCTGTTTGAACGTCGCTGCGGTCTCCACATGTTAATCTAAGTCAAATTCATGACTCTGCAGTAGTTTTCAGTGGCATAAATGTGTGTTAAATTCATGTTTGTGGGTTGTTGACTGTCAGCGCTGACAGCTCAGAGTTGAAAAAGTTGTTGCCTGCAGCTGCAGGAATCATGGAGGAGGAAGATAAACACTTGATCTAAAAGCCTCAAACCAGGAAGCTGACGGTTTATGGAAATGTATAAACTGGGAGTTTGTGCAAGTTTGAGCTGACTGTTGTGTGTACTTGAACTCCTACTTTCTGTTGCACCTTAAACACAGCGCTGGTGTCCACTTGAGCCAGTTAGTCTTCTAATGATCCCTTTCATTTCTCTACAACTCTGATTGGAAATGTAACTGAAGAACTGAATGTCACTTTTTTCCTGATTGTAACCCAGCTGTAAATAACCAGCTCCTCTCCTTCTTAGGAATTTAGGATATTTTTGATGTTGCTCCTCCTGCAGTCTTTGCATTTGATGTCAAATAAAACAAATGTTTTATTTGACCCAGCTTGTACGGTACCCTGCTGTTGAACTTTAGATGTACATAGTGGTGAGATTCAGGGTAATTTTTTTACATGACAGTTTCAAGCTAAAGGAATATTACTGTGCATGTCTGCTAATAAACAAGAGACGGATGTTAAAGGTGTGTTTCCAGTTTCTGTTAAAGTGAAGCGTGCTGTTTAATTTTCCTCCCTACCCATGTGGTATATTTTTATTTTTAGACTAGTATGTATGAAAATTCAAGT